TAGAAGGCATTGGTGACCGCGGGAGTGTCTGAACAAAGCAAGGTAGAGGGGGAAGGAGGCGATTCCCTGTCTGCAGACTAACTTAGCGAGTCAGGCGAGGGGTGGGGAGCACGAGTTACGCAAAGTAGCCGAAAGCGACAACCCACTAAATCGCCGGCCAGGGATAAGACCCCACTGCTCGGTACCGGTAGGACATACGGTGGCAACCTAGGCCTCAGGTCGACCCTGAAGGAGAGACTGTGTGGCGGTTAGCTGGACGCAAAGCCAGCGGGGCACAGGCGGTTCAAACTAAAACATAACCAGAAGATGAAGACGCGACCACTGGAACAAGAGCTTTAGTTTCCTGATGTTTCGGATTCCGTCGGGAATCCTTAATCATAGGTAATGGTAGGATAGTCTGAGTCATGCGCAGATAGGGGTGGAATATGCACAGGTTGCAAGGTATTTATAACCGAAGCTTATGATGCCTTCTTAGTAGATTTAAGTGGGTCAACTGAAAAAAAAGGCTTGAAAAAATCAACGAACTTGACGGGGTTCCAGGAACCGACAGCAAGGAGAAGGCATGAGTTTAGCCGACACCTTAATCAACTAAGCTTTTAGACAACGGCCGGAAACCTTGGGTTTCGCTAAAAAGTGGTCTTAGTTGCCCTCAGATCAAATGTAGAAGACTTAAGGTTCCTTGACAAACGCTCCCCGATCGCTAGCAGATCGCACACTCCTCAACATGACGGCTAGTGGGACAGCCGCTGTGTGGCTGCTGACAGGGCTCGAGAGTGAACCCTAACACAGAGCAGGACGAGTGTGAGTTCCTTTTAGCGATCGATGAGCGTTCATCTCCTGATCTAAACCGGCAAGACAACGAGTCTGTGGCTAAGTGGTTAGAGTGTTTTACTTCTGACCAACAGGCCTCGAGTTCGAGCCTCGGTTCCTGGACCACCTGGGGTTGGGTGTGTCTGGCTGCTGATGGCTAATAAGCCAGAAACCGTCATTCCAGGCTCCCCTGTCTTTGTTGGTAACGTTCATCAGAGTCAAGGTTATGAGTCGGAACCCCCTAGCACAGTGGTGGTGGTGGTGGTAGTAGTAGTAGTAGTAGTAGTAGTAGTAGTAGTGAAGCCGAACTCTTACTTTTGCGAGCTCCAATCCAGCCCGAGGTCGTTAAGCATACAACCATGGCAAAGGGACACTCAAGACAGGTAATGAGAACTTACTGAATGTAGAGCAGGGAATTGTAGTACTCCTCGTCCACGCTCTGGAGATCCTTCAGGCAGAGTGGCTTGTTGAGGAGGCGCTTGTAGAAGGGTAGGGTGAATCCATTATCGATAAACTTGCCGTGGTACAGTGCCAGGGCGATGAAGCGACCGACAAACCTAAACGTGGGGGGAGAGGGGAAAATACGGTTAAGTATTAGAATTTCTACTTGGGAAATCCTGCCTGGACAGTCAGCTTATCGTATCCTTATTGGGGGATTCCATGCGTATAGTAGGCTGGGCGGGTAAATAGACCCAAGTGTGATTAAATTCACGGCTCTAGGCTTTTGTTCTACCGGTCGCCCATCACAACACTCTCCTTAGCCAGCAGTTCTGGTGGAGTTGCTCGCGACCCGGCCATCCCAATCATCACCGTTGCAGCGCTCCCGAACCCTGCCGCAACGTCCGGCCGTCTATTCGAGCACACCACAAGGAAGTTGTTGCCTCGTCTCTCTCGGATCTACCTGTTGATAGCTCTGCCACCAAGACA